CCCAAAGTCCCCATCTCTAGAATTTCGACATCGCAGATCTTTGAATGCGCGATAATTTGTTACCTGGTCAAAAACAGTAGCAGGGGTGCTGTGTAGCGAGAACATGAAGGAAAAGCAAACTTAAACGGCTGAAAACGGACAAAAAGCTTTTTTTGCACGGCACTGGACGAGTTTTGGACGAGTTTCCTGTGCTATCGAGCCAGCAACCGTTTTGATATATACGGCTGCACGCATTTATTCATATCAGGGATGGCATGTTGCACCTTGGTCAGGCGCTATTACTGTGCCCTTCGTTGGAAAAGGCGCCGCGTGGCGCTTTTTGAAGGGCCTAATATTCTTTCGTGCTAGGCGTATCCACCCTACACGGCTTTTCGATTTATTCTGTCACTTGCCTTTAATTAAATCATCAGCGGCGCGCTTGCGGCGCGTGTTGGGTGACGTCACACTGATTTTGGAGAGGACCGGTGGCCAATAGCTCATTGCCTACATTCTGTACAGCCAAGAATGATCGTAACTTCGCACTAATTTCATTGCGTAGCTACCCCTCCTCCACCTTGCAGGCCGTAGATAAATCGCGCAATGTAAGAACGAATTATACAACTAGTTGTGATTACATTTTACTTGCCTGCCTACACAATATTAATTTCCATAACAACTCCCTCCAATAACAAAAAAATCAAATTAAGTTAATACGTAATATGATAATATTACGGTATGTATGGTTGGACAGGAAGTCCTGAACAGTTGCAGAGAAAAGTCAAAATGTAATAATCGAATAAATGAAAAATCGAAATTTCGAATGCTTCTGCCTCGATTACTGCATAATGTTCTTTAATGTTCCTGGAGCGTTATGGCTTCGTGGAACCGTGCAGATGGGGCTTTTGGAGCTCAAAGACCCCCCCCCCCTCCTTGCGTCACCGCACTTTTCAGTCTTCTCTACTACTCACTTGGTCACACTTTCAACTCTCTGGCTTACGATGACTCTGACCGTTCACCGCTTCGGATGCTATTAAAAAGCCCCTTCTAGTGGCACATTTATGGTAACATCCCCATAAAACGAATAGCCTGATGTCAAACCTTGCCATGAATGGACATAATGACTCCAGCAGTTTCTGTCCACGGCAGGTACTTTGCCTGATCAGTTCGGATCACCATTCGAAGACCGTAGAGAGGTCCTGCTCTCGACGAATTCTTGGTTCCATCAAAGTTGAACATATGACAGACACCGTAAGTCGGATCGTAGAACTCTTGAAAATCCCTGAAATCGGTAACTTCTCTGGAAGAAAGTTTAGGCAAGGAATGTATAAGGACTCACGTCACATTGCAAGACTGAGCGTTGTAGGTGCAGCTGATGACGAGGTCATCGTATGTGTACGCATGTTGCGCACCCTGTAAACTAGTACTTCTTCTGCAGTACTTTTCCCTCTCGGTAGAATTCAGAGCAACCGTTAAATTACGAGCTTCTTCTTTTTCAAAAATTCTTCGCTAGTGAACTGCTTAATTTCACCGGGGCAATGCGCAGCGGTAGCGATGCGACATCGCATGCATTAAGGTGGGAGCTATCTATCTGATTCACTGCCTCGGCATGTGGCAGCGATTATGCGGGTGAGACGGGTCGTGCTCTACGCAAGGAACACATAGACGGGTTTGACAGAGCAAAGTCCAAATGTAATTGAGGATGCATCGGATTCACTACCAGGATGCCATGGTGACGCGAATTTACTGTGTCATTCACTACTTTGGCTATAGTACCTGAGATTTTAGCACGAAAAACATTCGAGACGCTCTGGATTTTGTCTGGGACCCTTAACCTTAGAAAGGATGAATTGCTTTCCATGACCCGTGACCTTTTCTCGACCTCCGCAGGTTTTGACCTCTTACGAAAAGGAAGAAGAGAAGGTTGAATTAGTCGTGCTCTTCAACCGTAGGCTCTTCTATTGGGTGGTCGCCACCGGTTTTCGGTGACAGAACATTAGATAAGCCTGCTAGCACCCTCCGTTCTACCCATACCCTGTGTGGGCTTATCAAGCAGACTATTCCCAAATGTTTTCCTAGGTTTCGCAGATTTCGAGGAAGGCGAAGAAGCCGAAATGGTTCGACGATCTCAGGAGACTCTATTAAGACTTCGTGCTGCTTCTAATCAGGTACGGCTGCTTAAATGACGATATGAACATGGCTCACTGCACCCCTTCCGTCAGCTT